GCCCCGTGAGACTTTATGCCCATTTTATGTACAAGTAAACGGAGGCACAAAGACGTCAAGTAACTTGCCCACGCAACTAGTAAGTGCACAGTTGAAATCCAAGCCTGGGCAGTTGGGCTCCAAAGTCCAACCTTAGACCCATTACACTACACTGCACACAGGGCTTTCCCGGGGAAGGCTCAGGGCGTGATCAGACGCGGTTTACTACGGCGAATGAAAACGCTCAGCCTGGTCTGTGCCCGTCTGAATGACAGAACCTGCCCTCTGGGAATCGGGCACGTACCCGGTACTTCACTGGATGGGGAAGGATGGGGTCCCAGGAAAAGCACAGTGGTAGGATCACAAAGACCTCAGCCCGAGTCCTGACGCCACCACGTTTCAGCGGTGGGACCCTGTGCACGGTTTTAACATTATTGAGCCTCAGTTTCCTCACCTTCGAATTAAAGACAGAAACGGCATTTCCCTCACTGGGCTGGAGGGAGGCCGAGCGCACACAGTGCAGGTAAACGTGTAACGCAGTGACAAGTACCCAGGAGGGGCCAAACGATCCGTGGTCCCCGCCCTTCTCTTGGGAACCACGAACACAGCAGGCACCTGGGAATGTTTGCGGAAGGTGATCGATAGATTGGGGACCCCCTGCCAGCCTCAGCAACGTGAGGTACCTTGAATCAATCACTTTATCCTGGTGGAATAGTCATAAAAACATTTTTTTTTTCAAGATGGAGTCTGGCTCTGTCACCCGGGCTAGAGTGCGGTGGCGTCATCATAGCTCACTGCAGCCTCACACTCCCGAGCTCAAGTGATCCTCCTGCCTCAGCCTCCCAAGTAGCTGGGACTACAGGTACGCACCACCGCACGTCGCTAATTTTTCTGTTTTTTTGTTGAGACAGGGTATCGCTCTTGCTCAGGATGGTCTCAAACTCCTGGCCTCAAACAATCCTCCTGCCTCGGCCTCCCAGAGTGCTAGGATTACAGGCGTGAGCCATCGTGCCAGCCATAAAAACAGTTTTGAGCCACAGTTTCATTTCTAAAATGAGGATAATGGGCCCCGCCTCATAGAGTTATTGTGAGGATGAACTGAGACAATGTGTGTAAAACGCTGAGAAGGCATCTGGAATATACGTGCTCAATAATGGACAAAGACTACCGTCATCACCATCGTCACTTTCACCATCACCATCATCACCACCCTAATTATCACCACCACCATCATCATCATCATCACCATCATCATCATCATCTCCGACATCGCCTGCTTCCTCCTCCTCACGTAGGCAGCTCTGGGCAGGGGTCAGTGCAGTGGAAGAGAATACAGGAATCCCCTAGTTCACTCCTTTCTCTTAGTCTTTGGGCCCTCACCATGACATTGCTCACACTGGAAGAGAAAACACCTTTTACCATCAACTTCCTCCCCTGCTGAGTGGGAGAGGGACGGGCCCTACTCACTAGCCTTTCTGCTATTACTCTCCATTCTTTTTTCTTGACTTCTCAGAACCAACCAGTTGTATCACAGAACCGTCAGCAGACCACTGTTTCCCAGCAGGTGGTCTGTAGCACAGTACTCCAAGAGACGTTAGCTGGGGTAAGGCAGCAAAGGAGACCGGTATTGTGGAAACACTGCATTCATTCCTTACCCCGCTCCTGTAGATCCGCAGTGCAGATTAATATAGGAAGGATTCTACAGAGACCTTTGTTTTTTTGTTTTTTGTTTTGAGAGGGTCTTGCTCTATTGTCCAGGCTGGAGTGCAGTAGTGTCATCATAGCTCACTGCAGCCTCAAACTCCTGGCCTCAAGGGATCCTCCTGTCTCAGCTTCTCAAGTAGCTGGGACTACATGTGTGTGCCACCATGCCCGGCTAATTTTTAAATTTTTTTTGTAGAGATGGGGTCTCACGATGTTGCCCAGGCTGGTCTTGAACTCCTGGCCTCAAGTGATCTTCCTGCCTCGGCCTCCCAAAGTGCTGGGATTACAGGTGTGCACCACCATGCCCAGCCCAGAGACCTGTTTGATGTTGCTCAAATCTCATGACTCTGTGAAGTCAGGAGAAAAAAATGGTCAGTCTGAGAAAAGCTGCCTAGAACCAGTCTTTTTCAGCCTTTTTGGAATTCCTGGCCTGACTGCTTAACTTTACGACCCACATTTTCTTTTTTTTTTTTTTTTTTGAGACAGAGTCTGGCTCTGTTGCCCGGGCTAGAGTGCCGTGGCGTCACCCTAGCTCACAGCAACCTCAAACTCCTGGGCTCAAGCGATCCTCCTGCCTCAGCCTCCCAGGTAGCTGGGACTATAGGCATGCGCCACCATGCCTGGCTAATTTTTTCCATATATATATATTTTTAGTTGTCCAGATCATTTCTTTTTATTTTTGAGTAGAGACGGGGTCTCGCTCTTGTTCAGGCTGGTCTTGAACTCCTGACCTTGAGCGATCCATCCGCCTCGGCCTCCCAGAGTGTTAGGATTACAGGCATGAGCCACCGCGCCGGGCCAATGACCCACATTTCTTTACGTTAACATATGATTAGATTTATAGGCAAAGGTATAATTGCAAAAATGGCCTTGGGAGCAGGGAGAAGACAGCGCACACATAGCGTGGCCCTACTATTCCCAGGATAGAGATCATGGTCTGTCTTTGTTTCACTTCAGTCTAGAACTCTGATGCGTGTTTTACCTAATTTCATGTAAGCTCACGACTCTGCCATGACTACGAGAACAGCAACACTCTATGACATGATGAGGGGGAGGCTCATACATGAAAATTCATCTTGCTTTTTCTTTTTTAAGAACTTGACACCACCGTCTGGATCCTTTGGAGACATCCTGCCGGGGATGCTGCAGCGGCAGAGTTGAAGGTCACTGCTCTGCTCCTATTCACTGCTGCGAGAATGTCAAACTCACGCGGCCTCTCCGGAGTGGAGGATGGTTTGGCAAGGAGTAGCCGCAAGTTTCAAAATGCTGGAGTTCCTTAAGGTGCGGCCCTGTGCCCTCCGCCTCCCACGCAACGCTTTCATTAAGTTTAGAGCTTACGTGAAATCAGGTAAAACACGGGTCAGAGTTCTAGCTGTTCTTCAAGATTGAAGAACCGAAACAACCTTCCTAAGGGATTCCATTTGCACCCATGGCTTTAATCACCCCTCCGTCCTTCCCCCCGCGGATCCCCAGGAAGCCCCACTATGTGGTACCTGCCGTTCGGGTGCTGGGGACACAGTGTTGTCATCTGTCTCCAGACAAGACACCCAGGGAACAGCTGCCTCTTGGGCACCACATCTTGGATGTCTCTCGGGCACCTCACACGCATCTTCCCCTCAAACCTGGGCCTCGTCCTGGGTTCCCCACCCTGAATCTTAGGGAAGGAACCACATCTGTCCTTTTATACGTGCCAGCAACCTAGAGGTTGTGTAGACCCCTCCCTGTTACTTCCCTTCCAACCTTCTCCTTTGCCGCCACTGAGGCTTGTGGATTCGCCCCTTGAGCATCCCGGAATCTTCTCTCTTTCCTCATCCCCACCCTGCCCGACTGTGGCCACGTCAGCCCTATGGCAGCCTCCCAGCTGGGCTCCCAGGCCTCCCCGCTGACCACTTTCCAGGGCATTTACCAGCTGTCACCAAGATGATTGTCTCAAAACGCAAACTTGTTCCATCAACTCCTTACTTAAAATTTTCCATTGGCTTCTTGCTGCTCTCAGGAGAGAGCAGAGCTTCTTACCAGGCTCCGCAAGCCCTGAAGGGCATGGCCCCTGGGGACCTCCCTCGACAGCCTGCCCCACCCCTGCGCCGGAGCTCTCCATGCTCCTCCTCCCCACCACTTCATTGCTCCCTCTGCCCAGAGTTCTCCCCTCCCTGCTCTTTGGCAAACAACTCCTATGCATCCTGCAGATGCCCCGCCCTCCCTGACCTGGTCGAGCCCTGCACTTCTTCATTGCGATTATCACCATTCAAGTTTTACGTTTGTTTGAGTGATTTTTCCATTAATGCCCACCTCAGCCCTCCCCCAGAGACCATAAGCTCTACGAGGGCAGGGATAGTGCCTGTTGTTTCCCCAGCATTTTATTGTAAAAAAGTTTAAATGTATTATAAAGCTGGAAGAGTTTTACAGTCAACACCCCTACACCCACAGCCTGGAGTCCCCCGTTCCTGGCCCCACGACATCTCTGCCCTGCTCAGGGCCTGGCGTCTGGCAGCATGCAGTGAGTCTGGATTGAGCAGAAGTCGTTCGTGCCCTGCCACCTCTGGGAAAATGAAGGAAAGGTGGGTAGGAGTATGTGCAGTAACGTGCCTCTCAGCATGGTCTATGCGTGTAGCAAACTGGAAACAACTTAGATGCCTGCGCTGGGGACTGGCGAGATAGATGCTGGCACACACCGCACGACGGCATTCGAGACCTGCCATCAGTAACGTGATGGTGCGGGTCTGTGTGTACTGTCACGGGAGAAGCTTCCTGATGATGTAGTATTGGGAACAAAACTAAAGAAAATTGGGTGTAATACGACACTACTTTTTGTAAAATTAAAAAATCAATAAACATTCAATAACACCTATTGTGTGCCAAGTACTATCCTAAGTACTTTACACAGATCAATGCATTTTAGTCCTCACGATGCCCCTAAGAGGTAGGTACTCCATATTATCCCATTTTACAGGTGAGGAAACTGAGGCATAGGGAGGGTAGGTCATTTGCTTAGAATCACACAGCTAATTCCACAGGAAAATGCCTTGAAAGTTACAAAACATAACAGTAGTATTGCTGAGAGGTAGAATTTCGCATGATTTGGGATTTAATTTTCCTTTCGCCTCCGTCACGATTCATTTTTCCCCAGTGATCGTGTCCCACTTATGCGTTTGTTTTAATGGAAAATCACTTCTCAAGTGGAGAAGCAAAGTTAAGTCTGGAGAAGGGAACGCTTGGCCTCACACCCACGAAGCTTCCTCAACAGATGTCCCATCGCAGTGGGATTCAACGCGACATTTTAGAATCGTGCAACCATGTGAGAAAAAAGCCCCAGTAACCTTTGTCAGAGCCGGGTAGCGGGATGCCGAGGTCCTGGAGGAGCTGCTCCGTCTCCTCCAGCCAGGACAGCGGGAGGCTCAGCACGTCCAGCGACGCCTTCTGGAGCCCCGAGACAGGTGGGCTCACCTGGAGCTTCTGAAGAAGGTCCACCTCCTTCCGCAGGCTGCTGCCGCGGCAACACAGTCTCATGCAAGCCTGAAAAGGGATGAGATCATGAGAAGCCCGGACCCTGTGGACAGAAATAGCACCTGACGTGGTCTGCAAGGGACAACAATCTCAACTGTGCCACGAAGCGGGCAGCGCCCCGTGCCGGCTTGCCCTGGGATGGTCCGGGTTTCTTTGCTTTTTTGGCAGCTTTTATTTTTTTTTTTTTGCACTCAGATCTGCACTTTTGATGATCAAAGTGAACCCTCTTTTAGGAATATGCAACCCCAAAGCCAAATTACCATTGGAAATTAGGGTGAAATGAGAACCAAAGGTGGGTACTTTTTCCATTCATGAAAATTGCTGCCGAGACCAGCACACAAGGGATAGGAAAGCGTGGCTTCCTGGTTTGAGGGCGCACTGACAAGCCAGCGTCCGCACGAACGCCCCAGACGTAGCTGCTGGCTTCCAGGGAAAACAGAGGCAGCTGCCCACTCCCATAAGCTGGATCCTGGTGTGGGACCCTGGGGTGGTCAGACCCCGTCCCTGCTCCTGCACAGCCAAAGGCAAGAGGGGTGGGAACGGCCTTATGTTGCTGGGCCAAGAGAGAAAATGCAGATACGGTGCAGGAACATTGCTTTGGTTTCTCTGAAAATAACATAGGGGATTTTTAAAAGTCGTTTTGTTTTGTTTTTGGGGGCTGGGGCCTCCCAAAGTCAATGCGCGAAGGTGCGCAGGCACCAAGTTCATGGGAGGCATTTTCAGGTCCTTTGTTGTCTGTTCTCCAACAAGAGAAAAAGTGGATAGAAAAGTAGATAGAAAGCTGCCCAACTCGCTCCATGAAACCTGGACAGTTTCCCAAATAGGAGGCACAAAAATTAGACAAAGGGACCATTTGTGGGTGGTGTAAGAAGAGGCCACCTGACAGCTGTCTAGGGCCATTGTCAGCTTCTTGACGTCCTCGGCGGTCTGCTCCTGCTTGCAGTTGCTGAGCTGGGTCTCCTTCTGCAGCGTCCACTTTTTCTGCTGAAAGTTGATGTTGTCCTCGGTGACCTGGGCGATTTTCTCTATTAACTGGTGAGAAAAGAAAAAGAAAAAAAAGATATAAATACAGGGTGGCTCTGGGAGGAGGGGACTGGAGAGTGGTGACTTAAGTCCCCGTCTCGGCAGGAGAGGAGGGCAGTCCCAGCATGCTTTGCTGATGGCCCTGAAGCGGAACATCGGGCCTGTCACCAGGACACTTCCCAGGACCAGAGATTATTCTCAAGAGCCAAAGGCCTGTATCGTTGCCGTGAGCTTGTCCTGGACCTGTGCAGGGCGGCAGTGACTCCTAACGCTGAGCTCGGTGCTACGAGCTCACAGACAAAAGTCAGGTTCTCCTACGTCCGATGAGAGCCGCCCACGGCGTGTTTTCTTACCTGTCTTTGACACGGAGGCTTGGAGAGAGTACTGGGGATTCATGCACAGTCCACCCTCTCTGCCATTGCTGGAGAGAACACGCCAGAACCCACCGACTGTGAAGAGACAGTGCCTACCCTCACAGTGACAGTGAAGGCTACATGTGCACGTCTGGAGACCAGAACTAAGCCTGGATGGTTTAATTTGATTTTCATGGAAACATTTCAAGGGAGTTTAACTGGCTTTTACTTTAAAAGCCAGGAAATCCCATAAAATCAAAACAAATCTTTATGGTGTAGCAACAGTGTGAAAAATATGTGCCACCAACAAAAACAGAAACATATGCTCCCAGGGGCTGGAATCCGATCCCTGAAGAAGAGGAAAGTGGAGGATCCACGAGCACGAACGACAGACTAACCTGCTGGTCGGTGATGGGCTTGTCCTGGGTCAGCTTCGCCCGTCCGTAGGTGGCCTTGATCACCTGGCTTCTGAAGTGCTCCAGCTGCGGCACAAAGGGAGGGCACAGTGTCAGCGAGGGCGGTGGGAGCTGGCAGGCGGGGGGCGGCGCTGCCCTCTCAGGGTGCGGGGGCCCCACCAGGAGGGTCTGCACTGCACGCCTGAGCGATCACTGTGTCATCAGAACCGTCACCACTCGCTGGAAGTGGCAGAAGTGAAACAAGGCAGAAGAAAAGAGAACAGCGGCTTTAATTACTTCTGAGGCGGGCCTGCCTGACCCGGCGAGGCCTGTGGTCAGTGCACGCACATGTCGCAAACCCTTGGAAGAGCCACTTGCTGCCAATTATCCAGTGGGAAGTCTGGGGCCCAGAGCGCTCTTCTGTAATTGCTAAGTCGGCACCAGACTGTGAGATAAATATTGAGGCTGTCGGCGCAAGTAAATTATGCAGTCAGCAAGGGAGCCTGGGGAGAGAGAACGCTCTCCTTTTGCCACTTTGTGCCTGGCCCATAAGCGTCCTGAAGACCGTGCCCGTCACATCACCTCTGTATGCCTGGAGCCCAGCACAGTGCCTGGCACAGAGAGGCACTCAACAGATGTTGGCTGGATGCTCGCACACAGAAGCATCGGGAAAGTCAGGGTTCTCTGCTTCAGCTCAAGCAGCTTTCACTGGGCACCTCCTGGGTGCTGGTGTTTCCAGGTTAAAGCTGACGAAACAGCAGCTACACTTAGCCAGGGCTCGCGGAGTTACAAGTCCAAGGTGTCCTGGATTCCATCAGAAGTTAGAGGCAAAGGAGCCCAACTTTCTCTGGGAATTTACCAATATGGCAGCCCTTGGCCTGGGCCTTTGGTCCACCGGCAAATGTGGTCAGTAAAGACTCTGAAGCAGAACCCTGAAGGGACCAAAAGCGCCACTGAGTCAACTTGGGAGACAAGGGGGTTCACAGGAGTTCACTGCACATGGGGGAGTTCTGATGCTGGATGTCCTAAGGACAGCTCTGCAGTCACCCTGCCTGGAGCAGACGAGGTGATGTGAGACACTCCAAGCCACCCTCTGGTTTCATGGCCATGGGGAGGGTCCCACCTCACCCATGGAATTGGCTGGGCAGAGGAAGCCCTGCGACTGATGGTCCCGCTGCCACCAGAGGCTCTCTGTAGGCATGACTGCCCCTGGTAAAGGGACAGGTCCTCCTGGACCATAGCCTCGGTCCTGAAGTCACTCTCCTGGGAAGGGCAGAGTGACAGGCTCGTTGGCTTTGGAGGTACAGGGGTCGGAAGGCCCTGGGTGGCAGAGACAGGGCTTGTCCTTTTCCTCTTGTGCCTAGACCTGGAGGAGTCTCATTGCCTCTGGGGGTCCTCCTGGATGACCTCTGCTCAGAGCTGTAACGAGGACCCCAGCTCTTAGGCAAAGGACACAGGGCAGACCCTCAAATCCAGTGTGTGTTAGGGGGTGCGGAATGCAGGGACGATGAGTGTGGAGAGACCCACACTGGCAGGCTCTCTGCCCTTGCTAAGGGGCTGGCACCCTGCAGGAGAAATGACACTGGGGGTGACGGTGGTGGACATTTGAGTTTCAGTATGAGAGGACAAAACCCCGGTCACACCGCCTGGTTAAGGCTCGGTGGTAGCACACGGAAGGGCTTTGGGAGCCGGGCTGGGTGCTGTAGAGGGATCCTTTGGGGATCGTGCTCTTAACCTTTTCTGGTGGTTCACAGACCCTTTTGAGAATCTGATGAGTGACGTGGTGGACCCTCCCTCCCAGAAGTAGAGGACAATCACACACACACATGCAAAACGTCGTGGCTCCCCTGGAGCTGTGGTTGCCAGGAGAGGGGCCCTCGTGCAGGAGTCCAGCGTGGGCTGCCCTTGGCGGCCGTATTCTGGAAGGTCGTGCCCTCCCGCCTGGTTCCTTGTCTGCTCTCGCTTAGCCTTTGGGAGAATCTCGCCTGCACGTTCTGGCCCTTGCGACTGTGCCACGTGTAACAGGAAGGGCCACTGGGCGGTCCCGGGCCAGAGCTTCCGAGAAATGGCACCTCCGGACCAGCTGGGTCACAGTGGCTCACAGCCCTGCCAGGAATTCTCCACTGAGCACGCACTTTAGACACCATGGGGTTTTACCTTATTAAGAAAAGTGACACTTCCTTATAGACAGTAACTGTGACATCTGCAGGGGCCCAAGGGAAGAAAGATTGTGGCAAATGTGAGGACAAAAAATGTTAGGGAGAAAGTACTAGGAACACCATAGGGGTCATGGGACCTGGTTAACTGGGGCAGGCACTGAGCCAAGATTGGCTGCCTGGTCAGGGCCTTAGGTCAGGGCGCACCATTAGGGTGGGAAGCTTCCTGGAAGGAGAAACCTCTTTAGTGACGTCCACTGGGACGAGAAGCCGCAGAAAGCCTCGGCCCAGGAGATCAACAGGAGAATGACACCACGCTATCCTCCCTCCGGCTGCCGCTTGGGGGCAGAGAGTCACTAGGGAACGTGGACCAGTGAGGGGGGCTCTGGGACATGCCTACCTGACCTACTGCCCTTTCCAAATTGACTTTAATAAGGCTCTCTCTGTTCCCCATTTCTTGCAGCTGAAGCAATTTCCTTCTGGAATCCTTCTGAAGCTTCTCTTCAACCTGAAATGATGATGAAAGCATGTGCTTGCTGCTAATGTGATCATAATGCACTCGGGGAAATCCCTCTAGGAGGTCTAATGGCCGTGGGGAGGTCCCAGTGGGCAGGGACAGCTGCAGCCCATGTGGCAGCGGTCACAGGCGTGCACACACAGGGTGGAGGTGGGATCGTGAGGCGCCGTCCCTTGGGGGAAAGGCCAGGTTCTGCACCCTGCGCTCCGCTCCCAGCTCAGTCCCTAACAAGCTGGATGACCTTGGGAAAGTCATTTCACTGCTCGGTGACTCAACGTCCTCATCTGTCAAATGGGACGACGATACTATTACCCTCCTCGAAGAGTTACTGTGGGGACAAAACATGCCCGGGATAGTGCCAGCACTCCGTGAGGGCTCTCTAAGTGTGTTAGGTACTGTTGGAACCTGTAAAAGGTGGGTGGGAAGGGCCACCACGCAGCATCATTCTAATACTGTAAGTAACTGGCCCTTCATGGGTACTTGGTAAATGTTACTATTGGGTTTTAATCGAAACTATTTGTCGTTGCCACTTTTAACATGCTTACCGCTCTGGGAGGCTTGATAAGCAATGGCTATTAAAGAATTGCAGCCTACAAAAGACGTTTAAAGCGGGGGTTGGGGGTGGGGGTACTGCCATTCACCACCCTTGCCTGGAGGACCGACAACTCAAGGTGCGCTTGGGCGTGATCGATGCTACCCTCTGCTGGCCGTTACAAGACCCTGCGGCGGCTCAATTCGTTTTTGAACAATAAACATGTTTTGAGCACCTGCTGGGCCAGGGCTCAGCCACTAGCAGGAAATGAGGCAAACTCTCCGGAGTGAGAGGATTTTGTGCTGAGACAACTTCACAGGAAGGGTCACACAGAGGTGATAAAAGAACACCTTCGGAGCTTTCTTCTGAGCAGGACGGTGCCAGCACTTCATCAGGCAACTTACGGAGAGGCTCCAGCTAGCTGGTTTCCCTGGGAAGATCCGCTCAGCTCCCTGGGCCTCGCTTCCTCACTGCACAGCCCTCCCAGGTCTACGCACGCCCGGCTTCTACTTCGCTGACGTTTTCCATGCTGCAAAGGCAGAGCCTGTGCCAGGACTTTGTTCTTTGCTCCTCGTGTCACTGAATGGCCTGCCTGTTCCCGAAGCCTGTTAGTTCTGTTCCTCAAGTCGCTGCCATCCAGCAGGCCCTTGGCACCCATCCAGAGACTTACTCAGTGCCACCCTATGCGCGGCCTCAGGCCAGGCACCGGGAGCCTCTGGCTGGGATAACCGGCCTCCTCGCCTCCAATTCACCTCCTTCCAGTACACCCTTCGCAGTCCCGTGAGAGGTACCGAGCTGAGGGGCGGCACCGTCCCGCAGGACTCTGTGCAGTGATCAGATGCCCTGCACCCCTGCTGTCTAACAGGGAAGCCACTGGCCACACCTGTGTGACCAAGGAACTGAATTTTAAATTTTATTGAATTTCACCTAAATAGTCACATGTGGCTAGTGGCCATCCACAGTCACTAGAGTCAGACAAACGTTGCTTTCCATCTTGGCTTTGCCACTTACTGACTGTGGCTTCAGGCTGGTTACTTTACTCTGAACCCTGATTCCCTCATCTGTAAAATGGGCATAATAATTTCTAGATCATAGAGTTGTTGTAAAGATGAAAAGAGATTAAATGTTTGACATAATGCCTAGTCCATGAAAAACTGCAGCTATCATTGTCACCATTATCAGTAGTAACGAACCTAATCACATATGCCCCTATTCAAAAGCCTTCAGTAGCTCCCACTGTCTAGGGCACTATATAGCCCAAGCTCTGAAACCAGTGAAAAACACCAAGCCAAAGAATCAAGAAGCCCGTATGAACTCCAAACAAGAAAAATAAACCCACACCTAGATGAAGCATAATAAAATTGCTGGAAATCAAAGGAACAGAAAAATTTTAAAAACATCCGGAAAAAAAAAAAGACATTACACACCAGTGCAATGGTCAGGCTTATAGCTTACCTCTAAATAGAAACAATTTGAACTGAAAGACAATAGAATTACATACTTAATGCTGTCTATAATGTGCTGAAATAAAATAATTGCCAAGTAGAATTCAATACTAAGTCAAAATGTTTGAAGAATGAAGTTAAATATTGATATTTTCAGACACACACATGCACACCCCCCCCCCCCCCCGAGAGAATCTGTCACCAGCAGAGCCACACTGAAGGATGTTCTTTAGGCAGAGGAAAAACGATCCCAGAGGGACGATCAGAGATGTAGAAAAAAACACAACAGTCATGTGTGCACATGGATATCAACTGTATAAAAATACTGTCACTTGGGGTTTCAAACGTACAGAGAAGTTTAGGAAATGACAATAGTAACATATAAGTCTGGAGGGGGTAAGTGAAGTTAGCGTGTCAGTGTCTGAGGTCACCGTATCATCAAGGAGGAGGTCAAAATTAGCAATAAATACTGGATTTTGCTGAGGTGGAAACGTACATGGTAATCTTTAGGATAATAACTAAAAGAATAGTATTAATAGAAGAGTGGAAAACTCAATAAACGCTGGGTTTTGGTAAGTCATGACTGCATGTGATTGTCTTTTTTGTTGTTGTTGTTTAACTTGGAGCTTTTCACGCAAGTTGTCTTACTATTACTAAAAAAGGAGTAAAACAGTGAAAAATTTCCAAGCTAATATGCGGAAAAAATGGAATGACAAACACTATCAGCTGAAAGAAGGCAAGAATGGAGAGGAAAAGAAATACTGCACAGGCGGTACGACTGGCAGTGAGCAAGAAGTTAAATTCAACCCCCAACATACCAGCAGTCACGTTGTATATAAATGGACGGAAAGACAAAGATTGTCAAACTGGATTGTATAGGAACTACGTGCTGTTTAACAACAGATATAAACTTAAAGGAAGATTGACAGAAAAGTATGAAAAAGACATACTATGAAGACTCTAATCAAAAGAAAGCCAGTGTAGCTCATGGAGCTTTCTTCATGACAAAGTAGACTTTAAGAGAAAAACCCCTCCAGAGATGAAAAGGAATATCTTGCGATGGTCAAAGATTTGGTTCAACAGGAAGTAATAAAATTATAACTATATATGCACCTACTAACATAGCCTCGAAATATATAAAGTAAAAATACTAAAAAAAGAAATAGACAAAGCCACACCATGACGGGATATTTAAACAACATACCTCTCTCGATGACTGGCAAAACACACAGACGAAACAAAACAATCACTAAGAGCATTTGAGTTCTGAACACCATCTGCGAACTTGATTAAGTCACTTGTTCCCAGTGGCTGCAGAAGGCATATTTTTTTCAAGTAGACATGTGGAACCACAATCGACCACATGCAGGTCATAAAACAAGTCTCAATTAATATAAAAAGATTGAAATCACACGGAGGATGATCTCTGACCACAGTGTAATTAAGCAAGAAATCAACAGCCAAAAGATAACCAGAAAATCCTCATATATTTAGAAGTTAGGAAATAACTTCATAATAACCTATGGATCAAAGAAGAAATCAAAATGGGATTTGGAAAATATTTCGATCTTAATAATAATGAAAATACCGCATACTAAAACTTGTGGAATGCAGCAAAAGCCTTGCTTAGAGGAAAATTCATAGCCCAGGGAGCAGTTTGATTCCATGTTCATGACTACAACTGTTTGAAAGAAAAATATACCCAAGTAAATTCATTTTCATTGAGAAGGTATTTTCCATAGTGAAGCTCATTAAGCCAATGGTTTAACAGATTTCCACAGGTTTACATTTTAATTTTTATTCTTCTAAGCTTATTTTTATCTGGATCAATTCTTTCTTAGATAAATTGTACAATTATTACTTGATTCATCTATACGTTTTTCTTGTCCCTACCAAATATTTAGCAATCACACCTCTGTCATTGTGTGCTTTGTGTCCCTCATTTTTGCTAAGTTCATTTTTTTCCCAGATTATATTCCGTACATCTAAACTTTTTCAAGAATATTTGATTTTTTTCTCTCAAATTTTAGTTTGTGTGGTTTTAACTGTTGGTTTTAATTATTTCTCCAAGTCTACTTATGTCTGGTCAACTTTGGCAGGCTTCAATATTGTCAATGAGACATGATTTTTCAGGCAGCTTCTCGTCTAGTTTGTATTTTAGCTTGTGAAGTTTTACCAGTTTTAGCTTCTGGTGACTAGTCTGACATTCATATTAAGTAAAAACTGGAGAAAATACTGGATCATTTGCTTTTACTTCTCAGATCAACCTGGAGCAATTCCCCTCAGGTAGAATTCCCTTGCCTTTTAGATTTTCTCTTAAAATATTCTTAGTTTTCTCAATGACAATGGTCTTCTCATCAAATAAAGTAGATGATTCAAGTTGAAAGAGTATAGATTGTGGCCACACTGCTCAGGACCCTTAAAGATATTTTCAGTTTAGAAAATTTAAAAATATGTGTGATCCAGAAGTATACTTTGCACAACTCTTCAATTGGTTATATTGCCAAAAGAGGCCACCACTGGTTTAAAATAACAGAACTTTCTGTGGTGATGGGAACATTCTGTATCTGTACTGTCAGTAGCCACGAGCCACAAGTGGGTATTGAGCACTTGGGATGTGGCTAGTGCAAGTGAGGAGCTAAATTTTGTTTTATTTACTTTTTTTTTGAGACAGAGTCTTGCTCTGTCACCCCGACTACAGTGTGGTGGTGTCATCATAGCTCACTCCAACTCCAGGGCTCAAGTGATCCTCCTGCCTCAACCTCCCAAGTAACTGGGACTACAGGTGTGTGCTATGACGCCTGGATAATTTTTCTATTTTTTGTAGAAATGGGGTCTTGCTCTTGCTCAGGCTGGTCTTGAACTCCTGAGCTCAAGTGATCCTCCAGCCTCAGCCTCCCAGAGTGCTAGGGTTACAGGTGTGAGCCGCCGTGCCCAGCCTTTTTTATTTACTTTTAATGAATTTAAATTTAAATAGCCATGTGTGGCTATGGCTACTGTGATGGATAGCATATGTCTTGAGTATGCAACTAAAGATTTTTTCCTGTGATGAGAAGGGACATTAAAATAATCAAGCAACATTAAACCCTCTGGGATCTGGAGGTAGGTGGGTGGGTCTCATTACGAAAAAGCAAGGGACAGTGTTAGAAGGCAGTGTGAGTAGTGGTTACTCATGGAACTTGGAGTCAGACTCACCTGGGTTCAAATCCTGCCACAACTACTTTATCTTAGTGAACTTCGGTCCCTTCCTTTCCCTCTGTGAACCTCAGTTTTCCCCAGGGTGAGAGGGGCTGATACCAGCATCGACTACACGGGGTCCTTCTGAGGATTAACGCTGATGATTGGGGGTAGTGTGGGGGCGGGTAGCACCTGACCATTGGACTGAACCATCCTTGCCTGCGTACCTTACTCTTTTCTCGCAGGGTCTTGGAGATCATGCATTGCTCAGTACAGCTCTTCCTCAGCTCCTCCCGAAGCCTTTTCATTTCTTTCTCCATGTCTTGTATTTGCTGAAAAATTTCAACAACAGAGGAGTCAACTTCCCTGATGGCAGCAGGAGCTGCCTTCTGCTCTCAAAGGTCTGAGCCCTTAGAACCCCTTCGTCCCGTTCATTAAGGTGGAAACCTCGTCTGGTGTTAGCTTGTTTATTTGCTTATTTATTTAATCAACCTTAACAGATCAAGGTAAAAATAATCTGTTTTTTTTTAACTAATTTTTTTTTTGTAGAGACAAGCGTCTCGCTCTCTTGCCCTGGCTAGAGCACAGTGGTGTCATCATAGCTCACAGCAACCTCAAACTTCTGGCCTCAAATGATCCTCCTGCCTTAGCCTCCCCAGTAGCTGGGACTACAGGTGTGCACCACCATGCCTGGCTAATTTTTTTCTTTTTTTTTTAGAGACAGGGTCTTGTTGTGTTGTCCAGGCTGGTCTTGAACTCCTGGGCTCATGTGATCCTCCTGCCTCGGCCTCCCAAAGTGCTGGGATTATAGGTGTGAGCCACCGTACCCTGCCTAATTTTAATGGCCCTATTTTCATTGTATTTATTTTTATGGTCACCTTCTATATCAGGCAAATGATAACTTTTTTGTTTTGTTTTTATTCCTTGGTGTCAAATTGATGTGTTTAAATAAAAATACTGAAGGAAGAAGTTTGTGTCAACAACAGTGCCCATGGCTGTGAAAAACTTCTGACAGTGGAACATAATTCTGGGAATCACAGGTCCGGGGCGGGGACCCTCCTCCCTGTGCCAGCCCATGAGGGCGCGAGAGCCAACTGCCCAGAGGACTCTGGAGCGTGTTTTCCATGGTCTTTTTGCCCATCTCTCCCTGGGGGCCCAGGGCAGCAAACCAAGGAATTATGAGACTACATTAAAAACAAACGGACACAGGCCCCAGGGCTTCATGCTTTGTGATGGACCAAGGATCCCACCGAGACTCTGAAGGTCAAAGTGTAGTTTTTCTGGTGGCACCTACAGTGAGGAAGCTCGACTCACAGTTTTGCAGAGTTTCAACTCTTTCTCTTCGGCGTCTCTGTGTTCCTTGTGTGCTTCCTCCTTTCTTAGCTCCTCCTTCAGCGCTGAGCACTGCGGAGGAAAGGACAAGGAAAGGGGCCGCATGGCCACATGGGGTTGTCTGGACGGTTCCAAGGCCCCGTGTTAGCCCCAGAGCATGTCCTGCCTGCTGCTCCCGTCCAGTCACACACCCAGGTCCCAAAGGCAGGACTGCCGTGTCTGACGGGCACATGGGCTCCTGCATGAGTCATCCCCAGGTTGCCTCTCCCATGAGACCTGAGGAATAGAGATCGCATTTCACCTTCGAAAGCCAGCGATCTAAACCACAAGAAAGCTCCGGCATGGGAGAGTCTGGTTTAAGAACATCCACTGATGCCCTCAGAGGGGGCACTGGTGAGCTCGGACGGCTCTTAGCGTTTCATGCAATTTACTCCTCGGAGCCCCAGCTGCCCTGGTCACGGGAATGAAACGCACAGTTTGGCAGCAGCAGGCACCTAGAACATAAAGATGTGCCTCTTTTTTGACCCAGGAGTTCCACTTCAGGAACGTATCCCAAGGACCATGACGGGACAGGTCAGGGAATTTGCAGGTCCAAGGACGTTCTTTACAGTGTTATCAGCAAGAGTGCAGAAAAATGTCCGATGACTGGAGACTGCTTTATAACATCGTGTGTATGCAGGAAAATATTCTGTAGCTTTTATGACCAATGATAAAAACTTTTATTGATTAACGTGGGTAAATAGTAATTATTTAAAATTTTAAAAATGTAATATAGTTTAAATTCGTTGCTATGTATGCCATATATATTTTTTCTAGGTAATATATAGAAACAAAATTGGAAGAATATGTGTGAAAGTATTGACATTAATTTCTTGGGGTAGGTAGCATTTCTCTTCTCTCTTTAATTCTGCTTTCCAGTATTATCTATGTATTATTCTAAAATTAACACACATGACATATGTAATTTGGGAAAGAAAAGAAAGACAGGCATTTCAAGCGTTCATTCGCGCAATCCCTCGGTCGTGAGGAGCCCGTGTGCTAACGGCAGGCACAGGCTGGAGGATGCAGGCCCTGTTCCAAGGTCACGAGGGAAGGAGAAATGGGGCCGAAAATCATCCCAGTGCACTGCGGGAGGTGGAATCACCAGACAGGGGCTGTGTTCCCATATTTCTGCCACCAAGCATCAGCTGTACCCATCCCCCCCCAACACACACACACACACACACACACACACACACACACACACACACACACACACACAGCAGCGAGCACACATTTAATCCAGGAAGTCAGTCTGCTCCGGAGAAACAGATGCAGAGGGCTTGGCGAGGCGGCTACCCAGGTGCAGGGGCAGAAGAGCACAGTTAGAATCAGCCTCTCACTTTTCAGAAGATGATTTTTTATCCCCATTTCACTGATGAGGAAGTGGAGGTCAAATCAGTTACAACAAAACCCAGCTCTGGGCGTGGACCCTGGTCTGTCTGACCCTGAAGCTCCCGTCCTGCCTTTCCCCAGCTGCAAACTGAGCATTGTCATCAGCGCCAGATGTTACTTCTGCTGCCTCGTCTGTGGACCCTCAAAACCTACCCCCGCCTTGGCACCCACGCAGGCCTGGCTGACCGACCAGGCAGCCGCTGTGAATCGGGCATTTGCCACCTGAGACGAAAGCTGTTAGGTTTTACCTTGATTCACCGAAACAGAGATCACACAGACACTGTACAATCTTATCCTACAGGACCAGAATTCTAAAGTCACAGCACTGAAGGTAAAATTTGCAAATAGTCAAAATCACGTTTCCATTGTCATGGAAATACATGCCAAGAGGTGTGTTCGTGGCTGGGATTAAACAAACTAATTTATCATGGGTGTTAGAAAACGTTTGCTGGCTTTGAATCTACATCTTGCTTATTCTGAGCCACATGCACACGGCTCTTTGAAAAGCTGCAAAGAACTTGGCCCCCGTTCCAGTCTTTCTCGGAGGGTATTTCCTGTTTCGGCCCCTCAGCAGCGATCCTGCTTAGGCCCTTGGCACGGGCCTCACCCCACCATGGTGTGAGAGGAGGGAGGAAAGTTTAAAGTAAGGGCCCAAGGTAAATGAAACGGGTGCAACACGCGACTTGAGCTGCTTCTCGCCCATCAGCGACAAGGGATGTGGAGGCCGCAGACACTCACTGCAGTGCCAAGGGCTTCCAGCTGGAGATCCTTTTCTTTGTTCTGACTCCTTAGTTGGTTCACCTCCTCTTTTAGTTGTTGAACTTGCTCATTCCTTGCTAACATGTCTTTTTGCAAAGATGACACCATGTCTGTAAACAAAAAGACTCATCGAGGTCAAAGAGTCAGTAAGGATTACAGTCACCGCTGCCGCTATCAGCCAATTTGTGACAAGCCTGGCACTGAGGAAGGGGGTGTCCCCAAGGATCCCGGAGGCTTGAATGGGGCTGAGACCAATACCCACTGAACATCATTTGTTTCGTGTCTCAGTGAGAGTAAGGAGAAGCCAGTGAATGCTACTGGGGACAGGAACCACCTGCAGGGGTCCTTGTGGGCTGCAGAGCTCAGACAGGCAACACCACGGGCCTGGGGAACAAAGGCCCAGCAGACACAGGGACCAGGAGAGGCCAGGAGTTGGGCTTGTGGAAGAAGGGGACGTGTTAGAGGCTGTAGCTGGAGTAGATGGAGTCACACTTGTCTGAGTCTGTAACCCGTCCCTACCACTTATTAGCTCAGGGGTCTTGAACAAGTTACTTAATCTCCCATTGTATCTATTGAGTTACCGTAAGGGTTAAATGAGAGGATATGTATAAAAACCTAGTAGAGTGGCCAACACATAGTGTGTGTCACCTGGTACCTATGATTATTTGTGGCAGCCAGTTTCCAAAATGGCCCCAATCATTCCTGCCCCTGACTATTCATGCCCCTGTGTAGCCCCCTCCTGCTCTGAATAGGGCCAATGTGTGTAACCAATATGATATTGTGGGGGCGGTGGGGTGCGACTTCCCAGGCTAAGTCATCAAAGACACTGTGGCTTCTTTGCTCTCTCTTAGATCACTCAGTCTGGGGAAAGCCAACGCCATGTTGTGAGGATGCTCAAGCAGCCCTAGGGAGAGGCCCCCGGGGTGAGGAACTGAGGCCTCCAGCCGACAGCCGTGAGTGAGTCATCCAGGAAGGGGGTCCCATTGAGGTTTCAGATGACACGACAGCAGACCCAGCTGACATCTCAACTGCAACCTCATGAGAGACTCTGAATCAGAAGTGAGTCATTCCCAAATTCCTGAACCACAGAAACTGGGTGAGATAATAAATATTGGTTGTTTTATCCACTGAATTTTGAGATAACTTGTTATATAGCAGTAGACAGCTAATATATTATTAATATATTATCACATTGAGGAAAAGTGAGAAGAAGGGTGCATAAACGCAGTGTTAGTAGATTACCTCATGTGATTCCTTTTTTGGAAAAACATTCATCCCAGTTTTATTGGTAGGTATCAATCAGGAAGGTATTAATATGGAGAATAAGGAACAACATGATCCAGAATTTCATCTTAAAACTGAGCTTTGTGGCTGGGCACGGTGGCTCACGCCTATAATCCTAGCACTCTGGGAGGCTGAGGCGGAAGGATCGCTTTAGGTCAGGAGTTGGAGACCAGCCTGAACAAGAGCAAGACCCTGTCTCTACTAAAAATAGAAAAATTAGCCGGGCGTGGCATGGTGGCTTGCACCCATAGTCCCAGCTACTCAGGAGGCTGAGGCAAGAGGATCGCTTGAGCCCAGGAGTTTGAGGTTGCTGTGAGCTAGGCTGATGCCACAACACTCTAGCCTGGGTGACAGAGCAAGACTCTGTCTCAAATAAACAAACAAAACAAAAAGGAGCTTTGTCCTGGTGCACAGTTAGGTTACTTGGAAACAGGTGGATCCCTGTGGGGCTTGCCTTCAAGCTTGTCAGGTAGGACCAGAGTGGCCTTTCTAGACCTAATTTGGCTTCACGCCTGAGGCCACCCCTTTTACAGTCCCCACCAGCTGCCCTGTGTGTTACAAGGTTTCCCCTTTCTGGATGTTGGGAAGGTGAACTACTCTCAGGTCTGCATGAACTTCTAGATTGTTCCCTCTGCTACCTTTGGGTGGTCCTTTCCTTGCCCATATGCATGCGCTGATCAGTCCTGACTCCGCTGAAGACTAAGGGGGACCCTCTGTGGTCTCCAGGGCTCCCTCTCTGTGCAGCCTGCTCTTCCCTGCCTCCGCCTGTAAACCGAGCTGTGCCGAATGGGGCCAATCTCCATCTCCTCAAGCCGGGCAGGCCACTGGGCTGCGCCTGGGCGTCCCTCCCTGCTGGGGCCTGGGCACGGCACGTAGATCACACAGCCGGCGATTCGTGTCTGGCTCAGTGCTAGGCTCGGCCCTGACAGCTGCGGACACGTGTCCTGCTGTGCAGTGGGTGCGTCAGGAGCAGCACGCACAGCCAGACGCAGTACCTCCCGGCACCTGCTTTCCTCCCTTCCCCCTTTCTCTGTGAATGGCCCCATCCTCTTCAGGTCTCTAAACATGGAGTTTTCTGCTATAAAAACCACAGTGGCTTCCCATCGCACTTAGAATAAAATCCCAGCTCCTCCCCGTGATCTGGCCCTGCCTCTCCCCCCGCCCCATAGTCCGGCCCCGACCCCAGCCACCCTGGCCTGCAGCTGCCCCAGCATGGCAGCTGAGTCCAGCCTCAGGGCCTGTGCACTCGGCCCCGGCCCAGCACACCCCCCATTGCCCTTCCTATCCCCTCAGGGACTGCCCTTTGCCAACTCACTGAGCATCCTCCCTTCACTTCACCCCCCAGGCACTTGGCCACCAGGCCGCCGGCTTTCTTTGCAGGGCTGGTCTCTCTGAAACTGGCTTGTTTATTTACTTGCTCTTGTCTGTCACTCTCTCCCAGATGTGAGCCCTGTGAGCCCAGGGACCTCGACTATTTGCTCGGGGCTCTCTCCCCACCGCCTAGAACAGCGCCGGGGCCTAGCAGGTGCTCAGTAAATGTGGGGAGTGGATGAATGAGTGGATGCAGGCTAGAAACAGCTGTGCCGGCAAGGGTGGGCCATGAGTCGGCTGCCCCTCCCCCACCCAAGTTCTTCAGTATTGAACCAATTAGCCAAATGTGATCACTCGGGGCCCAGGTGCACTGGGGTGAACTGGGTAAAGCTCTGGGTGCCTTAAAGTGGCAACCCCACTTTGTCCACATTCTAGTTTGCATCCACAGCAAACTGGCTCATGGGACTGCCTGAGCCACACAGGGGCCAGGGTGTCCCTGGTGAAGGCAGTGCTCAGCAGGCCTTCTAGCTAACAGGTAGCATTTGCTCCAATATTTACCGAGGGCTGACTTTGAGCCAGGCCCTGTGCTAGGAACCGGATGGCAGATAAACCTCTCCTGAGGATGCACTCGAATTCATGACAGTAGCTGTCTGGAGGGCTGCTGAGAACTCTGAGCTGCAGCCAGGTTCAGATAACAAGTGCAGTGGTTGATTGGTGATGTCTGCCATGGCCATACACATTGGGGAGGGAGTGGAAGCTCTAGGCCCAACTCCAAAAAGAGCTCACCCGACGAGATGGCGTTGTCCCTCTTTAAGCTCTCGCCCTCGGTCTTCAGGGATGTGATTTCTGAGTTCCGCTCGGACAGGGTGTGGCACAGCACCTGGCTGTAGCCTTTCTGCAGGGCGCTGATCTGTGGGAGGAGGCAGCGCAGTCAGAGGGGGCCAGCCCACGTCTGCAAGGCACACGGGTGCTTCTCCCAAGTCGGACAGAAAGGTGCTGATTCATCTTTGTTTGGGGTGTGGGGTAAGCCAAGCTTTTTAGTTTTAATCAGTGGACGGGGCAGGAGAGGCCTGTTCCTGCAGTGACCACCAATCACTTCCTGTGTGATCAAAACATGGGCCTCTTCTGGGGATGCCTGACTCCTGAGTAGGTTCCTGCAACCTCTCGGCTCTCAGCCATGAACGGACCAGCTGCGGGCTCCGGGTCACCCAGCACTGACTGGATACAGAGCAGAGTTCAAGAGAGGGAGGCAGGTTATAAAATTAATTCCGTCAGTGATAACAACAATAGGTCATAGCTCACAGAACACTCTCGAACTTACAAAGGCCACTCGCAGACACTGCTCCAGCACAGCCTGGCCGCATCCCCGCAGGGTGCACCCACGAATGTCCCCATTTTGCAAGTGAGTAAAGTGGGACTGAGAGAGGCGAGGCTGCCTGCGTGGGATTGCACGGCTAGTCAGCGGTGGAGCTGCGATTCCAATCCAATCTTCACTTACCTGGCTCTAGTTCTTCCCGTCTTACAACGTGGCTCTAGGAACCAGCAGCAGAAGCCTGGACCCGGGAGCAGACTGCCGTCTCCCCGTTTTGTCTCTGCCACTGCAGGTGCAGGAACGTAGGGACACACCGATTCCATCTCGTTTCCCACTCTGTAACTTCGGTGTTGCTAGTTCTGATCTCATGGACTTGTTGAAGGTACTTTAATAAGTTGGTACAGCGGTCCCCAACCTTTTTGGCACCAGGGATTGTTTTCATGGAAGACAATTTTTCCACGGACCGGTCGGGGTTGGGGGGATGATTCAAGCATATTGCATTTACTGTGCACTTTATTTCTATTATTATTACTTGTAATATATAACGAAATAATTATACAACTCACCATCGGTTGTGGACCCCTGATTAGTATATGTAAAAATGCTCAGACCATGTGTGGCCCACGACACATAGATATTAGCTATGATTATTCCCCGGTGTGTTTTAGTTTGGGCTTCTCTTGCCTGTCTTGGGGAAGGTAGATTGGTAATGGTTTGGGTGCATTTGTAAGCTTTGTGTAGGCTCACTTAAACACCAGTGTGATTGTTACTAAGAAGAAACACAAGAGTCCCCGTTAATCGCTGCATCATGTCATAGGCATAGCATAAAAAATGATGGGGTGAGGGGTGCTCAAGTAAGGTGGGCACAGGTGCACAGTGCACCTCACCACCAGATGGCGCTCATAGTCTTTGTTCTTGGTGCCTGTCCCTGAACATTTTGTGATTATGATTCAATAGTGGACTTAATGGAAGCATCAAGGTTTCACAATTTATATGGCTAATTTCACGCACCACTCACGTTTTCCCTGGGGCATCTGAGACAGTGGAGAAGCGGTGTATGCTAGGAGAGGGAGGGACACAGGCCGAAACGCCCCCCACCCTCCCCAAGGGTATACTTTTGCATGTCTGTGCTTTGGAGACTTTGAATGAAAAAAATTGCTTCTCCTCCTCCTGTTCTCCGTGGGGAAAATGCAACTTTCCCACAAAAGGTATTTGTAATTAAAAAAAAAAATGTTCCTAGCTCTTCTCAGCCTGATGCTTTTGTTTGTATGATACCAGAGGCACAGCACAGAGACAAACTTCCAGAAGGGATGGGAAAACATGCCTCCCAAAGACTCCAGTGCTGTCTGACAGATATAAAATATTTCAATCAAAGTATCAGAGCTTTAGGATTTCAGTTTGCAGGAAAACTCCAAATAGTCTTCCCACCTCCTCGTTACTTTCACGACTGAAATAAATACTCATATTGTCTATAATTGGCATAACTCCCAAGATGTTTAATGCCTGTTACACTATGTAATAAAACGGGCACTGGATCATAAGAAAGTTAATAGTGCTAGGAAAAGTGATTGCTTCAAGATAATAATTCGGCTGCTGATTAGCACGGGCAGTGCAGCCCGCACGGAGGTGAGCATTTTCTAGTGGTACCCTAGCGGATCGAAGATCTTTGAGAGCAAATCAATACGCACACACTTCCAGGGGACCCAGGAGAACGTATAAACTAATCAGAACAATAAATCAACCTGCCATGTGGCTTATACTTCCGGTTGAATGTTCTGTTGGCAATAGAATATTTAAGAAACTAAAATGTGAGCAGATGAAGTGATTTGGATTAAACCAACTGCACCCTCTAGTTCAGAGATGCCTTGTTATAAAACACCCCTTTCAGTTATCAGTGAAGATCAAGGTGAGGAGGAGACAATGGTATGAAGATCATTTCTTGGTGAAAAAACAAATTTCCAGATATCACTGTGGACACAGACTCAAAGATACGTGAGAATTACTCGTCCCTGTCCACGCACCTGGACAAGACACGTCACTTTGCTCAGGAGAGCTCTGAAATGGGAGAATTACCGAAAAGGTTATTTCTCCATCTGATTGCAAAACTGGGTTCAGATAGCGAGAAACACACTCATCAATGAGTTGGCTGCATGTCAAGGCAGCCGCCTGCAGTAGTGGTTTCTACAAAACCTGCTGCTTTCATTGTTCTTTCAAAAACAGGTCGGAAGGGGAGGGTCACTGTTGGAATATTAGAGCATATATCTGTGCACTTGCTTATGCTGTGTCCCTCACTAGAACATAACTGGGGAAGGCAAGGGTCACGTCTGCCTTGCTCCCTGCTGACTTCCCAAGGCTGGAACAGGGCATGGCACTGGTGGACACTCAACAAATATTTATTTGAATAAATGAGTAAGTGGATGAATAAACAAACACTGTCCTATTAGAGTTCTGGAAGGTACCTGGGCCCAGTCCTTGCCCTCATGGAGCTGACAGTCCCTGGAAGACTCTCCTAGGTTCACCAGGCCTAACCTAGGCACTTTCTAGGGCACCCTTGCCAGGACTAAAGCCATGCACCTCGCTGGGGTGGAGAAGGGCGAGGCTGTCCGTATGCAGGGAGCAGAGGCCTAGGCGTGACCATGGTTTAAGCGGCATTATGCACTGAAGCCAGAAGTCACGGCGGCTCGTTGCTTTTTATCAACTTTGTTGAGGCATAATTTACGTCATCGACATCACCAGCCAATCTTAAAGTAGTTCTTTAAAAAAGGAAAGAAGGAATTGGGATCTAGTATTGAGAGAAGGGATCGTGACTGGCAAATCCAGCAATTCCAGGGGGACACAGTTGTGTGATGAAACTCCCTACAAAGTGAGCCGGGAACTGCCTGGAGAGTTTGGTAAAAGGCCGAGGTGTCTGGAACACTGCGGGCTCCTTCTCCCCGCTTAGCTCACTGCCCACAGCTCTTTCTGGCTGGCGCTGGAGCCAGGTGACAGGTGGCCACTGAAGCGACAGCGATGGGGGGAAACAGGAAGTGGGGTGAGAAATGGGGTTTGCAAGGAGGCAGACGTGAGTTCGAATTCCACCACCACCTCTAATGTGCTGTGCAAGCTGTAACCAGTTCCTGGGTGTCTCTGGGACTGCCTCAGATTCCTCATCTATAGAATGGATGTGTCAGAGATTGGGAGGTTTAAATAAGTTAATGCAACTAAAGTACTTTGCACTAGTGCTTGCATGTAGCTGGTGCTTACTAAATGCTAATAGTGGGAACTTGCCAAGTCTCTAAACCCTGCGGATTTGTGTTCTTAACCACTGTGCTACACAGACCACCCCACCTCTAACTCTCTCAGTGGCTCGCCCCCAGCGGTCCCCCAGGGCTCCCTGAGAGCTGCCACCCTGTGTTGTACCTCTAAGGCTCTGAGTCCTACCTGGCTTTTCAAGCTCTTGATCTCTTTCTGTTTGGCACCGATGTCTTCATCCAGGACCTGAAACTTCTGCGAGATCTCCTGCTCGTTCTGCCTGGAGGCGGCGGTCTGCAACAGCTTCTGGCTCAGCTGGGCCACCTCGCTCTGCAGGTTCATTATCACGGCGTCTTTGTACTTGGATTCAATCTCAAAATCGGAGAGGCGGCTCACCTCTTTCCCCAGCAGCAGGATTATTTCATCCTGGGTAGAGATGAGATGGGAGGCTTACTAGAAGTGGGTCCAGGTAAAAAAAAAAAAAAAGGTAGAAAAATTAGTGTAGGAGGGCAAGCGCAGGCAGGGAGGGAAATGGCAGATTTGAAACTATCTCTGTCCCCGGAAGCTCAGAGACAGAAGAGCCTGGTTAAAATCACATAGTCGTATATCGACCCCTGTAATGGACGTTTATACCCCAAAGCCACGGAAATTTCCTTTCTCTACAATCATACTTTCATATTGAGAACAACCATCCCATGCAGGAAGTTTATTTATAATGTTTTTAGGAGTTAACTTACCAGGCCTCAGTCTAGCGCCTGGGGACCTAGGAAAGGTAATTAGGAAAATGACATTCTATTCGACCACATTCTGACTATAACAGGGCTATTTAACTTTAAAAATTTAATACATGTTGAAACATTTCTTTTCCCTTTCCTCTCTTCTGGCATTCCTGCCTCTTTCGGTTATTCACATAAAAATTTACTCCAGGTAACTGGGTCATGAAAAATAAATGAGAGAGGAATGATGGTTTTTGTGTACGGGCTCTTGCAAACTTCAGACTGTAAACAACCCTGGGCTGGTGGATGTTCCCACAGGTGTAATAAACTCCTCCATCGCTCAAAAGAAAAAGCGCCACAGCCAAAGAATTGGTTAGTTTCTCAAAAAAGGAAAGAAAAAAAAAAAATCCCTCGAACTTCTCATCAGATGTCATCAATAAAACATCAGGAAGAGTGAAAACAAAGATTCCCTGGATGTGTTTCCACGTGCAGCTACGGAATATCTGATCAGTGACTTTTGAAGGAAACCGAGCCCTCCCAGCAAGTTCCTGTTGGCTGGAAGGAGGGAAACGGGCACTTTCTGGGCCAGCTCATGGCCTGGGGCCCCCAATCAGCCTCACGACCTTCTAGCTCCCCGACCCGGGGAACGACAGGGTTTTGGTCATGAGGGAGCCCCTCTGGCATTGTCAACTGCTGCCAAGGGTCTTTCTTTGGTCCTTATGAGTGCTTGTGGCACAATTTCAAGGGACAGCCTCAGACAGATTCCAGCTCCTGGGCAGCCCTGCTGCTTCAGCCAGCATGAGTCACCCAAAATCTCCGTGTTCACCGGGTGCCTATTCAGAATCCCTGCTTCCTTTTAGATTGTAAACTTGAAATTTATAGACTTGAGTTTGTCTATGGCCATGTTTTTGGAGACCTGCTAGAGGAAGAGGAACTGTGAGGGAAACAGTGGAGAAATTGGTTGTTTTGATGGTATCATTTAACCTCCTGGATCCAGCCATGCCTGAAGCTAGTAGGCCTTTAATTTTTCCAATAAGATAAGCCAATAAATGCTTTTTCCCCTCCCAAAACTAATTTGTTTATTGTCACGTGCACTTGAAGGAGTCCCGGCAAGTCAGGGCATAAAGAGTTCATAGATAGAAAATATGGTAAGTGTGGTTGCACCGTATTTCCAGTTTAACAACTGTGCTGGATTAAAAAATGGCCACAGATACTTTGCAGCTTCCGCCGTCAAACGGTGGAGTCTGTTTCCTCCATCCCCTAAATCTAGGCTGCCCTGTGACTTGCTCTGACCAGCTGAAAGTGGTGGAAGTGATGTTGAGTGACTCCCAGCAAGTTCTTACGCGGCTGTACGGCTTCTGTCCTGGGAACCCGGGACCACCGGGCTGCTGTGGAGAAGCCCAGGATGAAAAACCACATGCAGAAGGGGGCTCGCCATTCCAGGCGTCCCAGCTGAGGTGCCTGGGATTGAGGCCTTCTGAGACCATTGGCCCCCGCCAAGCCACCAGCTGACCTCAGCTGCATGAGTGATACCAGAAGACAAGTGAACCCATAGAATTGTGGAAAATGATAAATTGCCGTTTTAAGCCAGTAAGTCTTGGGCTGGCTGTTACACAGCAGTGGATACCAGACAGGGCACCCAGGCCTGGCTTCTCACCCTACTGCAACGTTGCCTAAAGTCTGGTCTCAGGACACCTGCGTCAGAACCACCTTCACCCTGAAGCTGCAGATTCCCAGGCATGTCTCTCCCGGGTGCAACAAGACCCCAGGTGGCTCTGCATGGTTCTGCTCCGCACATTCTGAGAACTGCTGCAGGCTCAGGCCCTGATCCTTAAGTAAGCAAGATACTGCTGGACTGTTTCTTTAAGGATAATTTTCGGGCTGTGGCTAAGTGGGGAGAAATCAACCTGGCTCCAACCTTCCCAGGTTTACTTAAATTCACCTGCTCTGACCGCAGTTCCTGTCTCACTCTCTCAACCTCTCTGTTTCTTTAACAAGTCTCTCTTTCTTGTTTGTTCTGCTGTCTTTGACCTCAGCTCTCATTTCCTCCTGCTAGGAAACGTGTTTTCCCCACCACTGTTCCACCACCAGCTTAGAAGTTAACCCGACCTGGGTTTGAGTCTCAGTTCTTCCCTTTGCACTGTGCAACCTTGGGCAAGTTACTCAATCTCTCTGAGCTTCAGTTTCCTTATCAGCAAAGTGAAGGTGACAAAATCTGTTTTGAAGACATCGAAGATTAAACGAGCTAATGAATGTCCTGTGCACAGGACACAGTCTAGCACACAGTAGGTGCTCAATAAACAGTGGAGCTGGATATTGTTGTTATTTGGGATAAAACTTTGGTTCGATGTCCTAGGAATAAGAGGTGGTTTCTTGGAAGCAGGAAAAAGGGCCCTTCTAGGCCACAGAGAACAAGAGGCATCGGCAAGTCCCTTGCAGTCCGCCCGCTGCTGTGGCCCCACCCTCCCCCGACACCCCTCACCTTGTCCTGCTGGGCCAGGTCCTGGTCCACATAGATCTCCGTGGGAGGTACTGGAATTCCCTCGGCCACTGACGGGTCGGGCAGTTCCACGGCATTGGTCCACACTAAGGCATAAGGTCGACAGAGAGCACAGATGACTTGAGTTTCCCGAAGGCTCTGGAGAGTATTTTCAGATTAGTTTTCACGTTTGTTTCCCCCTGAGATTGACACTGTATGTAATTTTAAAATTACAAAGTGGTGCATGTTCACCGAACAGCAATGAAAGCATCACAGAAGTGCTAGAAAGGGAGAGAGCCGCCTCATTCCTCTCCCCCCGTGCTGACCGCGCCGTTGCCCACGCTGATGTCTTTCCAGACTTTTTCCTATGCTGCGGAAGGGCTGGCAACCTTGGGCAGGTCATTTAATCTCTCTAAGCCTCAGTTTCCACAATACAGTTCAGGAACACTGACAGTCTCTGTCCTAAAGGGCTGCTGTCAAGCGTAACGAAGCGTGAGGGTTGGCAAACTACAGCCCTTGGGCCAAATCTGGCCCATCGTCTGTTTTTAAAAATAAAGTTTTATTGGCACACAGCCACGGTTATTCATTGATATACCATCTATGGCTGCTTTTGTTGAGGCAGAGTTGAATATTTGCAATGCAGACCATATGGCCCACAAAGCCTAAAATATTTTCTATCTGGCTCTGTGAGACTGTGTTTTATAATAAGAAATATACACTCTTGGCCTTCCGTATCTGTGTGTTACACACTTGTGGATTCAACCAACTGTTGGTTGAAAATATTTGGGAAAAAAAAATACAAAAACAAACCAATACAGTATAACAACTATTTACATAGCATTTACATTATATTTTATGAATGAGGGATCTGCGGCACAGAGATGTCAAGTACGCACCCAAGGTTACACAGCTGTTAAGTGGTAGACTCAAGATTTGAACCAGGTTTGTTGGATTCAGAGCCTGTGCTCCTAACCGTCATGCAGTAAACGTGTGGACCTTCACGATATGTTGTTAAATTTTACAAAGCAGTTTGCCAGTGTTAAGTTCAAATGATCCCATTATTATCCTATGATTTACAATATATGTAAATAAGGATAATATTTTTTAAAATCACCCCATGCAATTTCCATTCTCAGTAATTCTCCCTCCCCACTTCTATGAGCTTTGCCATTAAGATTCAGCTTCGGAGCTGAGGCTTTATTGCCTGTGGAAGGAGAAGGGTGAACACCACCTAGGAGTCCTCGACCCGGGACGATTTTGCCCCTCTGGGGACATCTGGCAATGCCTAGGACAATCTCGAGTATCACAACTTGAGGAGGGAGGGAGGATTGCTCTTGGCATCAGTGGGTAGGACCCAGGGACGTTGCTGAACACTCAGCAATGCACAGGACAGCCCCCACGACAGAGAATTATCAGGCCCCAAATGTCAGCAGAGCCAAGATTGAGAAACCCTGACCTAGAAAAAGTCAGTCCTTGGCTTTGGGTTTCCAGAAAGAATTTTTCAAATCTAAAGCAAGGCATTGATCTAGAAGAAAAAACAATTTTATTGTTAGAGTCTAGCTTTGTTAAGAGAGGAAAAGGTTTTCTCAGAACCCTCAGAAATGGGTTTTTTCAATTCAGAGCCAGCCTGGAGGACTGGAGCATAGAGCATACTCCAAGGCACGGACGCAGGGGACTCTTCACTGCGGGAAGAGGGAAGCCCTTCTCCGACTTGGGAATGGGGGTGAAAGTTTGGGAACAGCCATCCCAGCGCCTTCTCAACCGAGATGATACCCGGTAGGAGGCTGAGGTGGGAGGCCCAGGTGGATTTGAGGACCTCAAAGCCACAGGACTTTTCCTTCACTTCCCAGGGAGAACGTAAGCCCCTTAGGGAGGCCCAAGTTCAGCACGGCCCTGGAGAAACAGGCGGAGAAATCCACTCATTAGTGACTGAGTAGCAAAAAGAAACAGCCCATGTGTCCACCGATGGAAGAATGGATTAAAAAAATCCTGTGATATGTGCATAGAATATTATTCAATGATAAAAGGAACAAACTCATGATACATACAACAAAACGATGAATCTAAGAAATGTTATGCTGAGTGGAAAAAGCCTTACATGAAAGAACACATACGACATGATTCCATTTATTTGCAATTCTAGAACAGCATTCCCTAATCCGTGGGGGAAAAAAAACGGGGGAGGGGATTGGGAATTGACCGGGAAGGGGCCTGAGGGGACTTTCTGGGGAGGCCGTAACAACCTGTGTCTTGACGGGGGCTGGGCTATGTGGGTGTGTGTGACGGTCAAAGCTCGTGAGTGTCCACTCGGACCTGTGCATCGCATCGTGTGGTGGCCGGTCCCCCGGCAGCCCCAGTGATCCTTGTCCCTGGTGTTCACACCCCTGCCCAGTCCTCTTCAGTACTGGGTGGGCTGACATTGATCTGCTCCGGCTGCCACAAAATACCACAGCCTGGGGGACTTAACAATAGCAAGTTATTTCCTCATAGCCCAGAGGCTGTAAGATCAAAGTGCCAGCAGGGCAGTCTCTCCTTGGCTTGCAGACGGCCACCCTCTGGCTGTTCCCACGTGGTCTTTCCTCCGTGGACGTGCATCCCTGGTGTGTCGTAACCTCCTTTTATAAGGACAACGGATTGGCTTAGAGCCCACCCTAATGGCCTCATTTTAATTTAATTACCTCTTTAAAGGCATTATCTCCAAATAAAGTCACATCTGTGGTACTGGGCTTAGGGCCTCAGCATATGAATTTTGAGAGGACATAATTCAGCCCATAAAAGACCTCATCTGGCCGGGCGCGGTAGCTCACACCTGTAATCCTAGCACTCTGGGAGGCTGAGGTGGGCGGATTGTTTGAGCTCAGGAGTTCGAAACCAGCCTGAGCAAGAGGGAGACCCCACCTCTACTAAAAATAGAAAGAAATTAATTGGAAAGCTAAAAATATATAGAAGAAATTAGCCGGGCATGGTGGCACATGCCTGTAGTCCCAGCTACTCGGGAGGCTGAGGCAGGAGGATCGCTTGAGCCCAGGAGTGTGAGGTTGCTGTGAGCTAGGCTGACGCCACGGCACTCTAGCCCAAGCAAAAGAGTGAGACTCTATCTCAAAAAAAAAAAAAAAAAGATCTCATCTATGTAACCACGGGTATTACAGAAATGATGGAGTTTGTCCCCTGAGGTTGGATCGTAAGAGACGTTGCAGCTTCTGCTTTGCTCCCTAGGGCCACTCTGTCCTAGACGGCGGCGGCCATTTCATGAGGAGACTCAAGCAGCCTGTGGAGAGGTTCCCCGGGTGAAGAACCGAAGCGTCCTACTAACAAACAGCCGGTGAGGAACTGAGGCCTCCTACGAAAGCCATGTGAGTGATGTGGAGGTGGGTCCTCCAGGCTCAGGCAAGCCCTCAGGTGACTGCGGCCCTGGCTGACAGCTCGACTGCAACCTCACGAGAGACTCTAGAACCCCCCAGCTAAGCCACCGCCACATGTCGGACCCAGAGAAACTGTGGGAGATGATACATGTTCATTGTTTTATATCCTTAAATCTGGGGCAATTTGTTATGCAGCAGTAAGTAGCTAATACAGATTCTGGCACCAGCAGTGGGGCGCTACCTTTGCAAAACCCTAAAATGTGCAGTGGCTTTGGAATGGAACAGTGGCCAAAAGCCTGAGGACTTTTTGAGAAGAGAATCTTAGCGAAATATTGAGGAGCATCAATGAGTCTGCTAGTTGAAGCCCAGTAGCCTTCAAGGAGGCAGTAAGGGGAGGCACTTAAAGAAAAGTGAGGAAAATGTGGGCAGGGCGTGGTGGCTCACGCCTGTAATCCTAGCTCTCTGGAAGGCCGAGGCAGACAGATCGTTTGAGCTCAGGAGTTCCAGACCAGCCTGAGCAAGAGCGAGACCCCGTCTCTACTAAAAATAGAAAGAAATTAGCTGGACAACTAAAGATATGTAGAAAAAATTAGCCGGGCATGGTGGCGCATGCCTGTAGTCCCAGCTATTCAGGAAGCTGAGGCAGGAGGATCGCTTGAGCCCAGGAGTTGGAGGTTGCTGTGAGCTAGGCTGACGCCACGGCACTCTAGCCCGGGCAACAGAGTGAGACTCTGTCTCAGAAAAAAAAGAAAAGTGAGAAAAATGTTATCAGGGTTGTGGGATCCTTGTGACAGAGTGGCAGTTTCATAACATGTTCCCCGAGGTAACATGGAAAGTAGGAAATGCACCTAATGAACTGGGTGATGTAGCTAAAAAGATTTCCAGGTGGAGCGTTGGAAGGTGTCACCTGGCTACTTCTTGCCACTTCAAGTAAACGTGAGAGGAGAGAGACTGGCTAGAGGAAGGGCCATTAAATAAAAAGGAGCCAGGACTTGATGTAATGGCCTTGACATTTCTGGCCTCTCCACGTGGCAAACGAAATTTGAGAAAGAGGTTCTGGGCAAAGATCCCATCGGGAAACAAGGTCTAAAGATGAAGCCCAGGCTGTGGCTGATCCTTGTTGGGAGACGAAGCCTGGAGGCTGTGTCTCAGGGAGCCTGTAGCCAAGCACAGCCTTCCGAGCAGCTTGCGGGTGCTGCCCCCGCAGCCTCAGTGGAAGCCCACGCTAGAGAAGAGCTGATGTTAAAGAAATCTGTGGGCATAGCCTTTGCCTAAGAGGGTGAACCCCAACAAGAAAACTACCGACTGGCACCGACAGAGACAGAGACGCTACAGGAGTACAAGAAACCTGTCAACTCCCAAGCTCCTACAGGCAAGAAGAAAACTGATAAAGCCACGCAGCTACAAACATGTGATACATTCCACATAAAAGGTAGGATGACCCAGAGGGCAGCGGTGAGTGTCCAGAGGGCAGAGCCAAGAGCCAGGGAAAGTCATTTCTGGGCAAGAGCAGGACCGAATCCCAATCGTGGGACTTCCAACATGTTCCTGGGAGGATTTCAGTACTGCTATGGACCAGTGACTCCTGTGTGTTTCCTGTTTTGTCACCTTTTGAACAGGAGGAATGTCTGCAGCAGTTATCCTACGTCTGCCCGGTGTGTGAGGGACAGATAACTTGTCTCTTTAGTTCACGGCTCTTTGCACTGATAGCAGCTGTGCCTGAGGAGCTCAACTTAATGGCACTTTGAACCACAGGCCAGGCAGGAACCCCAGGAATCATGCCCAGGGGCTGAGCTGACCAGCTACTCGGCCTGTGAGGCTGCTGGGGCCAAGAGGACAGTGCCAAATGGGACGTTTCCTCCCCAAATGCCATGAGGCTTTCAAGGGGGGTGGAAGGCTGTGCATGCCCCGCAGTGTCCAGGCTGGGGTGGGCAGTCACTGAGATAACCAGCCTTCGACGTGATGGAAAAGCATTAGATCAGACCAGATTGAATACATCTCCTCTGGGGAAGTCATTTTCCTTAACAGGCCTCAGCCTCTCTCACATGGAAGACGGGAATAAAATATTTAAAAACCTCCTTGGGCTGTTGTGAGCAAAGGGGGATTTCGGTTACCGATACTCCTGCACATCTGAGTCAAAGCGTGTCGATTTAGATCCCGCGACACACTCGCGTGTGTGCACACACGCAGGCGCACACTCCCCGCAGGGGTGCTGATGTGAGTCTGTGGGCACAGCCCCGGTCTGGGGGGATACGCACCAGCAGGTCAACAGAGGAGACCCAGGCGATAAGGATCATGGCTCATTTTTAACTGTTTTCTTACTTTGTTTATCCTGAATTTTTTAAAAACAATTGACTATGTTCTACTTGTATAATCAGAGAAAATAAGCAAAAAACAAGAGCCATCCTCATGGCTAGAAATCCACCCCATAAGCCACCAACGGAAGCACCGACACATACCTTGCTTGATGGGGGACTTGCGGGCGTTGTCCACCACAAAGGAGAACATCTTCCCGCTGGCACTCACGGGTCGCCCGTGGGAGGCAGGCGAGCCCATGGTGGGCCGGGGGAAGCCTTGGGACCAACTCCTTTGCACGGGCGCTGGCCGGATGCCCTGGTGGAAGGGAATATGCGGTGGCGAGGGGGTCTTGTTCGGCTGCTGCATGGCCCAAGGTGGTTGTGGCCTTGGCCATGGTACTGGGCCCCTCATCCACGGGAAGGAGGCCTGCAGGGGCACACCAGAGGGTCAGGGGAGGTCATGATCTGCTGAGACGGTCTCCACTTCTCGGCCCCAGCTACACAGTTGCTGCCTGAGTTCTCAGCTTTTGAATCACTTCCCCCAGGAAGCCCTCCTGGACTCTCAAGCTTGGGATGGTAGTCCTGCCACGGGTCACACAGCACATTATCACACCACCATTAGTGGGTATGTCCTTTACCCAGGCACCTTGCTGAGAGATTCACGTGTATTAATGAATCATTAATCATTTAATACACCCGACACTGTGATGGCACAGGCTGGGGAAGACCAAGTGATCTTCCCAAGACCATAGATGTGGTCTTGAGCTGCTGAGCTGGGAGAATGTCCCCTCCAAGGGATTAGGGACTTTTCATCTATCTTGCTCACCCCTAGAATAAAGACCTGGCACATACAGAGCAGGTCCTCAAATATTGGTTGAAAGGAAGAACAAGCCAATGACAGATTCAAGCCCAGCTTTCTGGGACTCCACAGCCTGTTCTCTTTCTGTCCACACTGTGGGTCTCTCTGTCTGACCCCCGACGCTGAGAGCCCTGGGGTGGCAGGGACCCCGCTGTCCTGTTAGCCTCTGATCCTCCACATCATCACACCTGATTCTGGCAGAGGCCCCACACCTATCTATCGAGGGAACACTTAATGCTCTGACCCTGGGGAAGATGTTGGCAGCTACTTTCAGTGGAGAGGATGTCAAAATCCATCTAACCGCGGAGCAGCGAGTGTGGAGAGGTGCTGACGCCCGGCTTTTGCCTTGGCTTAACGCTTTTAGTGGTGCTTTCCTCCTGGTGCCCGGGGGTTAAGCGATGACACCAATGAGTGCTGTCACTCAGTGCGCTGAACTTACCAATCCCTCACCGCAGCCCTTCAGGGAGGGCGCTCCTCACTCCTGTGTTAGAAATGAGGCTTGGAGGGGTGAAGGAATCTACCCAAGCACAGGTCGCGGTAGGGACAGAATTGGGATCAAGATCTGAAGGCCCCCCTCTCTCGTCTCTCTCCCTTTCCACCCCCCGCCCTGCTCTCCCTCGCAATTCTCTTGGCTGAAATAACACTTTCCAAGTAGGAGCTACGTGCAAAGGTTTGCTGCCTGTGCAGGGGCCATGCATCTATCTTCCCAGGGTTCACAGTTCTCCTTCTGTCACCTGGAGAGAATTTGAGCTCAGATACGCATCATGAAGAACAGGACAGAACGTCCTATAACTTCGGTTGGGTTTTCTTCAAGAGGAAGGTTCTCCATTCACTCAGGATCCTGAGCCAATTAAGCTACAGTCTTTCTAGGTCAAGGATCCTGTGCTTTTTCCCCAAAGACTCTTTCTCCAGGGCCCCTCTTCTGTGGCGGACAGGCCAGAACCCACCAGCATCCTTTGGAGATTCGGGGTCATCTCCCTTCCTCTCCCAGCCCATTATTGTGGGCGGGGTTAGGCAACCAGCCAATCAGCGATTGGTTCAGAGGTGGGGCATGCGGTCCAATCAGAGCCAAGGAGATCAAGCTGGACACCAGATCTTTAGCCATAGGAGAGCTGGGGGATGTGGCCAGCACCAAGGGTGTGGAGCCCAGGTATGGAGAGAGGGAAGCTGGCTTTTGTTTTGTGTTTATAAAAAACATATAACAAAATTTACCATCTTAACCATTTTTAAGTGTACTGTTCAGTAGTAAGTATATTCAAATTGCTATGAAATAGATCTCTAGAACTTTTTCATCTAGCAAAAGTGAAACTCTATTCCCATTAAATAATTCTCCCTTCCCCCTGCCCCCCGCCCTGGAGCCCCTGGTAACCACCATTTTACTTTCTGTCTCTATGAATCTGACTACTCTTGGTACCTCGTATGAGTGGATTCATACATTTGTCTTTTTGTGACTGGCTTATTTCACTTGGTGTAATGTGCTCAAGGTACCTCCACATTGCAGCTAGCATGTGTCAGAATTCTCTCCTTTTTGAAGGCTGAATAATATTCCACTGTATGGATAGACCACATTTCATTTATCCGTTCTCCTGTCGAGGGGCACCTAGGTTGCTTCCACCTCTTGGCTACTGTGAATAATGCGCAGATAGAGAAGCTGGTTTTGAGCTCTGGCTCGGGTCATAACTGAGCTGTTCCATACTGTGAGGCCGGTTAGAGCTGGTTTCTGTCACTTGCAGGCCCCATACCCCTAATGACAAGGTTTCTAAAGGGGATCGTGCATGATGTATAAATGCAGCAAAGATTGCGATCAGCTCTTTACATTCAAAAATTTAAAAATAGGCCAGGTGTGGTGGCTCATGCCTGTAATCCTAGCTCTCTGGGAGGCCGAGGCGGG